AATTTGCCCTCTATGACGATTTCTATAATGTGTAAAACAGCCTTTAAATCACAAATCTTATCGAGGCACAAAGCCAAGGAGGATATAAGTCAGAATTAAAATCTGCCCAGCAGTAAGACTATGGAATGTATTTCTATTTTAACTCAATGCCAGTTACTAAGTGTTTAATTACAGCTATTGCAAATATGTAAATTGAAGGAGACTGTCGCTGACATTAGTCAGGCAGCTGCTTCTAATGCTYTCAAAACACTGCATTTCTCACTTTTTTATTGAAGGAGGTCTAATGGAATTCTTTTGTTGCCATCTAGCTGTGAAGATCACTTCCACAGCCCGCAAGTTGACAAAATGTGCTGTATTTTTCACTCCAAGTAAATGCTATAGTAGTCTACAAAGGCAATGAAGGTAAGACTCATGCTGCATAGCAAGAATTAAGGAACACAAGAGATGAAAAGAAGAATCCTAGAAACAGAACTACATAGAAAAGGGAACTATGATACCATGTCTAGTAGGGTATTGTAGTACCTTTAAATGACAAACCCTTAGTGGAAGGGAGTTTGTCTTCCTTTGTGGTTGTTCAGCATTCTTTTGCACTGTATTCCAGAGCAACAACACTAAGTGGTGACTCTAACACCTTGGTTTTACAGAAAACTGCAATTAACAGCTGACACTCAAGGTGTGGGATATTGCATGGATCCATGCAATATCCCAGCTTAAACCTTCCCATAAGAATTTAAAAAAGAAAAAAAAAAAAAAGCATAGTTAGGCAGATATGGAGGTCATGTGAAAATGTCAAAACCCCATCACACTGCAGGCTTTTTCCCCTGTGATTTTCAACCAAGTTTTCAAAATTCTTATTGAATTGCAATCAAGCTGACTCAGAACTATTTCCTTGTCCATATTTTCCTTGCTCTCAAATGAAAGGATTGAGGAATAGAGGAATCTCAATAATCCAGATGTGAAATTTTTGCCTTCAGAACTCACAAGTAGCCCTATTGCTACTTTGGGATCTGACCCAATAAATCATTTCAGAATCAATGTTTTGAGGAACATAAAAGTATGTATTTTGAAGAAAATAGGAGCATATTCCTATATTGGTATTTTTGTGTCAATATATCAACAGAATACACAGAATAACATAAAAAATACAACCTTCCTCCTGACAAATGTTTGTAACTTGATGCTGGACACAGCAGATCCTATCCAGAACCATTCTGCCCCTGGCTTCTAGAGCACATTCTCTAGTATTCCTGTGTGGTACCCAAAAACCTGAGGTGACCTAATGCAGAGCCATCAAAGGTCCAGTGGAACTTGTCAGCCTTGTGTTACAAAAGCAGCTGCAATGCCACTGGGGCCAGGTGAGCTGTGAGGCCACCCAGCTCATTGAGACTTGCTGCCTCAGCTGCTGCCTGTGGCAGGGACCATCCRCCACCTGGTTCAGCCACACACAGATAACTGAGTGAGCAATGCCTCTACACTTGCCTCATGGAAACACAGGTGGATGAATAATTCATGATTCATTCATTTACACATTTGTTACAGCATTTGCAGCCAAGAAGAGAAGCCTGAGTGAACAAGGCTGAGTGTGAAATAATCCATCAAAACAGAGCAACAAAATCAGAGGTTGCCCCTGTCTGATCGTAGTGACAGACTCATAAGGAAACATTTATAGTGCTGGGAGCTGCACATTCCAGACATCTCTCATTTCATCATAAACGGCCAGACCACAGAAGCCTTCACATGCCACARCAGAGTAARGAGGTGTAACAAAGCCCAGATTACYTGAGGAAGACCATKAGTTTTTGYCATGTGACAGGSACTGGCACAGGGTGCTCACCACTCACGTAACACAGTCACTGCTGGGTGGCATTTGGCTCCCTCATCAGCTCAGGAACAAGGGAAARCCCACACTCAGTGACTGCCAGGCCAGGTAATCCAACCTGTCCTAGAGAAAACAGATGTTTTATTATTTAAATGAAATTTAAGACATAGAGACAGTTACATTGGGACGGCAGCGAAAAAGAATAAAAAGCCTAACAGAAATCTCCAGCACTTATCACCCAGAGGAGAAGGGAAGACAAGTCATCAGGAAAAGCTACCAGTTCATCTACAAACAGCCCAGTTGTCAGGCACAGGGCAGTAAGAATCCATAGGAGAACAAATGCTCATTGCACTAAGGTAAAGCTGTTGGGGAAAACCCCTTTTGATAGTGAGGTGAGGGCCTTGAAACACCTCTGCATGTTTTTATGAGTTAGATATCGGATCTCGAGTAATTGTCCCATGGGTAACAGGTAACAATCTCTACCCCACTGATGGCTCTGATGAATTTTTCTCCATCTTTTGGAAATACACTGATACACTGAGAAAAAGATTTTCTTCACAGAAAGGGTGATTAGATATTGGAATGGACTGCCCAGGGAGGTGGTAGAGTCACCATTCCTAGAGGTGTTTAAGGAATGACTGGACATGGCTATGGTCTTGTCACCAAAAACTGAGGATAAAACTCCTTCACACCAAAGTAGTATTAAGAAGCAGGCAGTAGTTTATTATAGCTCCAGATGCACAGGGGGTAACTTGGCCTAGCATGCATCCTGGATCAAGGTATTAGCCAGGGATCACAGAATGATAGAATATGCTGAGTTGAAAGGGACCCACAAGAACCATTGAGTCCAACTGCTGGCCCTGCACAGGACCATCCCCAGGAATCACATCATGTGATTGCCCTAAGTGCATTGTCCAAACACTGCTTGAATTCTGTTGGACTTGGCGCTGTGACCACTTCCCTGGGGAACCTGTTCCACTGCCCAACCGCCCTGGGTGAAGAGCCTTTTTCTAATATCTGACCTAAACCTTCACTGACACAACTTCAGGCCATTCCCTCTMCCTCCAGTCCTGTCACTGTCAAACAGGGCACAGATCAGTGTCTGTCCCTCCTCTGCCCCTCTCGAGGAAGCTGCACCTGCAGTGAGGTCTCCCCTCAGTCTCCTCCAGGCTGARCAGACCCAGTGCCCTCAGCCGCTCCTCACACRGCTTCCCCTCAAGGCCCTCCACCATCTTTGTCACCCTCCTTTGGATGCTAATAGTTTAACATCTTCCTTGTATTGCAGTGTACATCCTGTTACAAACRACCCAGACTCCGAGTGAGAATGAGCCAAAAAGCGAAAGTTTATCTGAGAACCCAAAAAGCCGAGTGAGAATGAGCCAAACAGCGAAAGTTTATTTGAGAACCCAAAAAGCCGCAAAGCAGGAACATACAGCAACACAGCGCCGCTGGGCGCTTACCCGCTGGCCCGAACGCCCTGAGGGGCCGTGGGGACCGCCCTTTACACCCCCCCACAGTATGCACACACCCATTACCGCGCCACAGTTCCCGCCCTGAGCCGCCCCTCCCTGGCGCAGGCGCACTCCTCGTGACYGCGTTAACTCGCGTTTCCATTGGTCYGTTGCTGTGCCTGCCGCTGTTCTGATTGGTCGAGGTGGCTGCTGTGGCGGGCAGTGTCCTCGTTGGCTGCAGCCTCGGATGCATGCAAACTGAATTTTCACGTAACTTTTCCCCGAATTGAAATGAAAGACCGACCTCCCCCAAAATCAGCCCCCTACAATAACTTAAGTACAATTCAAGTCAATATTTAAAAAAAAAAAATTATCATAAATCCAGCATTAAACAGTTCTGTGAAAGCCAAACTCTACAAAACTTACTGATCTGTAGCAATGGGGAACAAAGACACACAGACCCCCCCCCTTGCTTGCTCTGAAGAAAATGGGTTATTGCCAAAACCCAAGGCTTTTCATGCTCTAAACTTAAGCAAGACAAGCACGCATCGGCTGCCCGCCACTGCGGCATCACTGCCCACATGTCCCTCTACCCAACCACGACCTTCTCCATCACAATGTCCACGCGTCTCGCCAACAAATCACTGCCCCACGCGCAAGGTGACCACACACTAGYTATACAATTTGTTCTCTGGTTRTATGACCCATAGCTGAACTTTTTCTAGAGTGCTTTCTGGTRTGCAAGAGTGAACAGAAATGAACAGGATTTAACAGAGGTGAAAAAGGCTCTTACTTTATAAGGCTTTTCTTATCTGCCACATTGATCAGAAAATGTTAAATATGAAGTTGCCTGAGTTTGCTCGGTGAGCCTCAGAGGGGCCTCCTGGGGGTCTTTAGGAACCCCTGGTGGTCTTCCATATATGGTGGTTTCTTTCACCCTTGCTATAAAAGCTGCCCGATGCTTCAGAAGGAACTGGGTTGGGCTGACTTGGCTTGTTACAAGGTGCGGTAACCACTGCATAGCGTTCCAATAACTGCTCCTTCTGTATGAACAGTTTATAACACTCTGGCTGACATGGTGGTTTTCGGTCATAGGTTGCACTTGATGATCTCAAAGGTCTTTTCCCACCTAAGTGATTCAGTGATTCTGTGATTCTGAGATTCTGCAAAACGTTTCCAGATGACGGGGGGAAGGGGGGACCACCCTAAAGCTCACACATACTCCACCTCCAACAGCACCGCAGAACACAGCAACAGCACGGTCTGTCTTCGGCCGCCCCCTTCAGGGTCTGTCAGGGCCGAACTAACCATAGGACCGAGAAGACCTTTCCCAAGGGGCGGCGAGAGTAAGCAGCGGGCCCCGACAGCCCCGCGCAGGCCGCACGCCCGCGCAGAACTACAACTCCCAGCACGCTCCGCGGCAGCTGAGGAGGTGGGGCTGCCCGCCTAACCGCTGACTGATTGATTTGTGCGCCGGCCACTTGGCGGGGAGCAGGGCCGCCATTCCGCCAATGGCGAAGGCGCGGGGGCGGGCGCTGCCGTGCGCCGCTGCCGGCCGGCTCTGAGGTGAACGCGGCGGGCCGGAGGCTCGGCCGGGGACAGCGGCGCTACTGGGCCCGTTCGTCCCGCTTGCCCAAGGGTCTACAGGTGAGGGAGGGGAACGGGAGGGGAAGGAGAAAGTGAAGGGGAAGCGGAAGGGGAAGCAGCCGTTCCCGGCCGCAGTGGGGGGAGCAGAGCAGCTGCGGCCGTTCCTGCCGGTGCGCGGGGCTGGGCCGGCGCCGCCCCCGCTCCGGCCTCAGGACGGTGCCCCAGACCCTTTCCCGGGCACGGCCCTGTCCGAGGGGCTCCCCGCAGCCTCCCCTGCGATCCGCGTGGCGAGTGTGCCCTTCCCGGCCCGGCCGGGTGCCCCGRGGCCGGCTCCCCAGCTGCCCGGCTCGCGGGGCGGCCCCGGCCCTTCTGCCCTGCCCTGACCGGGGGCGGCCGCAGCGCCGAGGTGCGRGACATGGATGGGCTGCCGCTGGTCCTGCCCCGTCTTCCCGGGAACACGAGGCTCTTCTGCGGAAGAACAGCCGGGGCTCGGTGGATGTAGCTGCCTGAAGTTGTCGCTCTCCCCTCCCATTTTGTGTGACAGCAGGAGTGGGGGGAATGTGCCTCTCCTACCTCAGCCCGCACCTGCACTTCATTACAGGATGTGGAAAGACTCAACCGGTTTTTTTCCTTTCTTCTRTATCTGKTTTTTGGGACTATTGAAAAGGAGTCGTGGCGTCTCTCAGAGAAACTTGTGCAAGTAAGAGCAGTGAGGAGCTTTTCTTGTGGCCAGTATCCATTTTTCTTTGCTGTGTCTGAAATGGGTCATAAGATGAATTAAAAGGTTCAGTGTGTTGTTTTGTTCAGTGGGTGGGTTTTGGTAGCGTTTTTTGGTTGTTTTTGGAACGGTTTGAGATTTTTTAAGGTTGTTCATGAACGTGTCATATTTGTCTGTAGATGTAGCTGCCTGCTTAGACTGTTGTGTGTGGTAAGCTGGTTGTCTCTCATCTTTACTCTTTTTATGGTGCCTCTCACCAAGCCCTTTTAGTTTGACCTAATTTGGGTAACACAGACTCAGTTTCTGTTTTCACTGAAGTTGATGTAGTGCATCTGAGAAAAAAGAGCATCTCTAAAGGTACTGGAAATATAGGATAGGAAGCTTTAAACGAGTAAAATATTAGATAGTGTTCTCTGTGGTGAAAAAAAAAGAGACTTGCACTTTGTGACTGGTATGTGCATCTTCTGAGGACAAAAGTCTTGATATGCAGATGCATCTGATTCAGTGTTGCCTGTTGTTAGAGGTACAAAGTAATATCTGGAGTAGAAATGAGAAGCAAAATCTTAAAGGCTTGGGATATCACATTTAGACAAATTCAACATATAATGGTATTGCCACCTCTGCCTTGCACATTCCTAATGTTTGAATTGATGTTATTGGTTTCTTTAAGTAGGTACTTAAGTGTATTTATTGTGTTTAGGATAAATATGAACTTAAGTCTTGTTTGTGTTAGTGAGACACGGGTAATGTCTAACTTTTGCTTCAGACAATTTGCCTCCATTCATGCTAAGTTTGCAGGAGATCAAGACTTTGTTTTGAGAGTGGTGCAAGAAAAGTTTTTAGTGTTCTAGAGAACCRGTATTTTTAATGGTAATTCAAGCATTTTTAATTAGCTTAGCTTGAATTCGGTGCAAATGTTAACTTTTTGGTAGAGGAAAAAACAAGAGACTGATGAATAGCAGTAGTTACACTCCTAGTGTAAGCATTCTTAATTTAAATAGCTTGACCTTTTTTTTCTCAAGTACAGTGAAAAGTTGGTAGTTGTAATCTTTGAAATGCTATTTGTTATGAGATGAGCACTGCACTCCAGGAACAATAATTGCATGTGCWGAGCTCTGCGTATGACAGGAAGGGGAGGGGCTTTTTCTGGTACTGTACCATCCTGCAGTGAAGCAATAAAAAGTCTGTGAAAGTTAAAGTTTTTTACTGGCTTGCTAATCTGCTAACGTTTCACACAAAGAAAAGTTTTGTTACTTTTGATAAAGTCATAATTTTAAAATTTCAAATCGATGTCTGAATGCATCTTGCTGTGTCTCAGATAACTGCAGCTAAAGCTGTGAGTGAGGTCATTGGATGTTTCTGGGTTTGGGGGAGGAGATTGGTGCAGTAACTCTGTGAGCAGCCCACTCCTGGGAGTCTTGGTGCTGGGTGGTTTCATAGTGACTGCTGGAAGAAGGGCATTATAGGCCTTACCATTTAACTTGGCCTGTCCAGGCCCTGTGTAACAAATTTTGTTATTAAATTAAGTAGTTCTACTGTTTTAAAGATTTTTAAGGAATTCTGACTGATGAGTGTGTCTCTTAATGTGYAGTGTGTTTACCTCTGTTCCTTGTACATTACTAAACTTGATCTGTAATGTATTTAAGAAAGTAAGCTTCTGATTTGTTTTCAGAATGTGTTTTACAGTTCAGGCAGCTGATTTTCAATGAGGTTTCCCAAATAAGCCAATAACATGGAAATCAATAGTGCTACAGAAGAGGTTTGTTCTTACAAAACAAAAATGTTGCTGGATCATAAGACTCCTTCCGTAGTCTTAATAAATTCCAGCAGTCTGATTTTCTTAGTAAACATGACTCTCCTGAGATGAGTCATGTTGATACTGATGAACCTGCTTGTGATGATTTATTTTGAGGTDGTGTTACAGTGATGAGCTTCCCTGTGGGAATCTATTCTTAATTCTTCAGAAGCAGCTTCTGAAGGGGTTATGATTTGAACCASTGGCAATTAGGACATTTGTGCCTTATATGTACTCTCTGTGTTAATTATAAAGCAAGGCAATTGTCAGTGTTGTAAGAAATTAAGCTGTCTAAATAGCAGTGGTGTGCTCTGTCACTTAGGTCAAAAGGTGGTTCTGTCCTCTACTACCTTTGAGTGCTGACACTAGATCCTCTGAAACATAGTAATTGTGTRAATAATCTGTTTCTTGCTATTTGGGTAACAAAGTGAGAGAGTATTTAGTGGATAGGGTGGTCTTATCATGTCYTCTATTGTGAGTTACTTCAGTTTTCACCATAATTTTAAGTTTTGTTAGTTGGCCGGCTCATTTTTTTCTTCTGCTGCAGCTCTTCTTTGGCATTTAAGCCAATCATAGCCAAAGAGAATCTSTGCAATGTTTTTAATTTGAAGTCATCACAGGCATTTCCCTCATGTTTTTAACCCTTTTTTTAAGRTACTTGGTCAGCAAACCATTGCACTGGGCTGTATTCAGCCTTAAATCCAAAAAGCACCAAGTCTTGTGAAACCATCTGGTTGTTTTACATCCAAACCCATGCTGCCTGCTGAATAAAATAGGCTTATTTTTTGCTGTCTTTCAGCWGTGCAGATATGTCAGTGTATCAGGTTGCTCTGAAAGGTTCTATTTAAAAACGTTTGCAACTACTTGTAATTTAAAATAAGTTTATATAGAGTTCACTTCTTTATATTTCTCAGGTGTGTGCATGAGCTAACATTTTCCTGCTTTTTRATGTCCAGGTATTTTTTCCAATTCAGTATCTGAGGAGAATCAAGGAAAATGTCACTTGGCTTTTTTTTATGAAATAAAACGTGCAAAGAATCTAATGGCCTAACTTCTTAATGTTCCTCATGTGTTGCCCACTCTTGTTCATCCTCTTGCTGTGTGCAGAAAACTGCTTTACCTAAGTAATTTTTCATTTTCTTTGTCAGTGAAGATGGTAACTTGTCTTGAAGCAATTGTTTTGAAAAAGCAAATGTGTAAGGTTTAGGGGTGGTTCTCTCCCTGGCCCTCATCCCATGTGCCATGTGTCCTCCGTCCCCTCCCTCTTCCCCTTGTCTCCTAAAACCTCCATGAATAATAGCCACATGGAACTAGGAACTTGTACAGCACCTAAAAAATGTGCTCACAGGACAGTCTCTCTGTTCTTTTGGGTTTTGGTTGGTTGCTTTTATGTATGAATGCAGCATTTGGCATGGTCTTGTTTTAAAAGTTSTTGTCCCCTATCCCAGAAAATCAGTAAAGTGAGTAAAATAGGACCTTCTCAAAAATGTTGGTAAGGCTCACAGAGAAGCTTTCTTAACAAATGAAATGAAATCTAATGCTTTAGAACAGTGAGATGAAGTGTTCAAAGAGAACTCTCATTACCTGGAATATTATGGAAAGGATTGCATAGATAAATCCTGCATTGAGGAAGCAAGAGACCAAAGTCAGTGTGCCTTCTCTGATAGCAAACTCTGAGCCTTGAGTCTTGTCTTCAGCACCCCAGGTGACAGCATAAGACTGTTTCTTATCTACCAGAAAAACTGAACTGATGTCAGTTTAGATTGCTAAAAAAAAAAAAAAGTGGGAGAGGCTGTTACACATAACAGTTCTAAAAATGGGATCTATTGTGCCTGTGAACTTACTGRGCACTAAGTCTGGCATATGTGGTTCGAGAGGGGGGAATAGAAAAGGCATATTGACTTTAATTTTGGCTATTGTACCAGTTTTAAAAAGAAAAAAATGTGAGGAAATTGATGGGTGGTGTATTGTGTTGCTTGAAACTATACATAAATACATCTTTGGGCTTAGTAGTAAGTACCAAATGCAGTGTAAGCATAGGCTGCRGTGTGTGCTGGTCTTTGTGGCAAAAATCAGTCAGATCTTGAAGAGAGTTCAGCAGTTCTTGTTTAACTTCACTGATTTCTTCTTGGTCCCTCCCCTGTGTCCCCTCATGCCCACCCCCAGCCCCTCACTCCGTTGGACATGTGGTAACTGTACCACAGCCAGGCTCTAAGAGGGGACCTTCAGTGCCCTATCAGTTACTCAGAGCTGCCTCTGTGCTTTTCACCTCTCCCCCTTGGCAGGTAGCTGGACATGTGCAGGTAACAGAGCAGCTACAGTGAACGTGTGTTCTCCTGCACATCAGCAGGTATTTTGAAACTGAAATTTGTCTGCTTCACTTGCTTTAGATTCCTCTCAAACTATTCAGCTCCCAGCTGCTGGAATCTAGAGATGGGTTGCAGAAAAGAACTGCTCATCTAGAGTTTTTGGTTCTCTGAAGATGGCTGCTTGTGACATAMTTTCCACTGATTCCTGACCCCAGACATTGCCTCGAGCATCAATCAGTTGCTTTTCAGTTCAATGTCCTTGGGATTTCTTAATATTCTTAGAGTTTGCCATCAGGCTCACTTATTCAGGTGTTTAGTTCATGGGTGAGAATGACTCAGGCTTCAGGCCCAAGTGCAGGTGTCTGATGCTCACATACTGAACTTAGAGATGTCCCTCCCCTCTGGCTTTGGGAAGAAAGTGGTGACTCAGAAATGGGAATCTTGGAGTGGGGGGTACTGAAGAGTACAAGCATTGCAGATAGGTGACCTTCTCTCTTCTTTTTGATAGGTTTGGAAAAACATCRTCCTCTGACGCTCAGAAACCTGGAATTTTTATCAGTGAGCTATCTAACGGAATCTAAGGAAATTATAGTTGTAGCTTCCTTGACATTACTTATTTGGTGTTTGTACCTCTTTTTCAGTGGCTTTAGATCAAGAAACACTATGAGCACAGTAAGTATTTTACTACTCARTGCAAACCTGATTCTTGGAACATGTTTTCCACTGTAGTTCTGAAAACTATTTTAAGAGTTTGTAGCCAATACACATCAATATGAGTGTATTGAATCTTCATCAGTGAAAATTTTGRATCTCTCTAGGTGCTAGCCAGTAGTTCAGAAATGCTCACAGTTGAGCAAAACCTGATAAATTGTGAACTAGTTTCTCATTTGCAAACCAGCATGATAGGCTTTTGCTTGATGAGATAGCTGGTAAGAGMTCTGGATCTGGAGTGATGTCTTTTCCTTGCTGTGATGGGTTCAGATAGGAATAATCCATACTATCATTTGATGAATATTGGAGCCATTCCAGGATTGTTTTTTCTGAATCCTTTTACTTTCATTGGTGTTGCAAAATTGAGGGGTGTGTTAATATTGCTCACACAGAAAATGCTAAGTCTTTGTTCTCTCCTAGACCCAACGGAAGCGCCGTGGAGGAGCAGTTAATTCTAGGCAAGCTCGAAAAAGAAGCAGGCTCATAGCTTCTACTGCAGAAATGGCTTCAGAAGCAGAGCCAATAGAACTTGAAGAAAGTGGTAAGCTTTCTTTTGAGCTGGTAAGAACAGGAACTACTTCTGAAGGGTTTGGGTCCAACTGAACATGTGTTCTTGCCAGTCTGTAGGCCATTTACTAGAGAAAAAGGGAAACCTGACTTCAGGARGTGCCTAGTATGGCACAACTAAACAGCAAGCCTACTGAAAAATAGTTTGGTTTGTTACTGAGCTGCAATGCATTTGCCACTAGTGATAGATGAGTTGTACAGGAAAGGTCCTCAAGAGCTGCTCAAACATCTGGATGTCTGTTCAGATAAGGTGGGAGTTACAGCAGCTGCTGCTACACAGAATGGCGAACTAAATTTGAGAGCTCCCAAGTTTGATGAAGATAAGAAAAATTTTATCATTAATTGTGCCACATCCCTCAAGAGAACRTGCACAGCACAGTACTGTTATATCCTATTATTATATCCTATGTGATTCCTGTTATTTTTYTCTGTGATTAACATTGTCCTGTGTCAGATGAATTGTCTGTTTCTGTGTACCTGCAAGCTGTTGTCATCCAGCAGAACTGTGTGAGGACCTTAGCTACTCTTTCTCTTGCATTGTAGCTTGCTGAAGACAGGGCTGGTAAAGCTCTCTGGATTGCTGAGGGCAAAGCTTGAACACTGAAATGTTGGATTTGTTCCTGAAGAGAAGATGGACAGGAGATGGTTGAATCTCAGGCTGTTACACAGTGGCAGRCAATTTTAATCCTCTGCCATCTCTGACCTTGATTCTGACTTTGTTTTTCAGCTGGTGAAGAAGTAGTAGATCTCACATGTGAATCTTCTGATCCTGTAGTCGTTGATCTAACTCACAATGATTCTGTTGTGGTAAGTAGTGAATAGCATACTTGACTAAATCTTGTAGTCAAATTCATTTTTTCTTGTGTTGCCTGATAGAATCTGACTTGAAGGGTAAATTTTCAGTTCAGAGTTGACTTGTAAGGGCATGAAGATCCTGTGTTACAGGTAACGAAGAAGCTGCTCTGGAGATGCMCCTGCAGCTAGCGAAAGGGTTGTATAAAATAAATTTTTGCTCCAGAACCTGGAGTTAATGTGTATCAGTCATAAGTACTGTAACATTAGGAGTTGCAGTTGATATTTGAAGTTTTTCTAGATATATAAAATATAGAATCATACAATTGTTGAGGTTGGAAAGGACCTCTGAGATCATAAGAGTCAAACCATTTATCCAGCACCACCAAGTCCACAACTAAGCCATGTTCCTGAGCACCATATCTGCAAGTCTTGGAAATACCTCCAGGGATGGTGACTTCCAGCATTGCCCTGGGCAGCCCCTTSCAGTGCTGGACAACTCTTGGTGAAGAATTTTTTCTAATATCTCTATAGGCCAATGATTTAAAGAAAAAGCCAAGGGAGAGAAGAGGAAGTAAAATAAGTTCCACTTAATAMTTCCAGAAGTCTTTTAAAAACGGTATTTTCTGCTCTTTTGAAAGCTAGAACAGTTCTTTGATCCAGCTGACAGTGTTGTTTATCCATTCAGGTTTGGGTTGCTGCTGCTGCTGTGCCAAGCAGAAACAAGCAGCAGGAATAGCATAGGAAGTATTTATTTCTGGAGTTGTTCTTGAGCCCTTTGCAAAGGAAAGGTCTCAAACTTAAGAACAGAATCTGCACTTAACCTCCCGCTCTAGTTCACCAAGAGCAGGTTGGGGATTGTTGTTTTTTTTCTTCAGCAGCTGCCATAATAAGCGTTTGTGGACATCATTGCTGAATTGGCCTATTTGAGGAGAAAGAGGAAACGTATCACCTGCAGCCTGAAACCCTAAAGCAGGGAACTGAAACAGGGGGCACAGGGAGGAGTGGGTTCAGGTGGTTCATGAGCTGCCTCTGTTTCTACCCCATTGGAGCAGAACCATCAGCATCCACATAGTTGTTTACGGAGAAGCATTGAATATACTACTTTTAATATACTTAATCAAAACAGCCTACCATTCTTAGCTTGTTTTGTTGGAGCTGCTGTGGTGTTTTACATGTAACACCAGGGGTGCACAACAAAGTCTAATTGTATTTTCTTTTCTCTCCCTTTCCATATGTATTGATGCAAGATTGTTGAAGGTGAGTTGACATTTTAAAATTAATAATGGAATTCTCCTAAAAGTAATTATTGTTATTTTTTCGTTTGCCTCTTCCAATGAGTTTGAGAAGTATGGATTCAAACTGCAAAAGGCCAAGGACATTGCTAAAGCATCTGGCCAGTGCCTTAGAGAATGAATCCAGTCTCCGTTAGTCACTATCAGAGCTTGTAGAATAATCTTAAATAAAATACATTAAAAGCTTCTCTAAATACTTCTTATTTTCTATAGACAGAACTTCTTTAATCCTCARGTTTACCATAATTTTAATTAGCACTGGAATACTTGTTGTGAATAAAAAGAAGTCAAAAGGTTTGTTTAACCTGTATTGCAGTGAAGGAGCTGAAGGAAGTGATTTGTGCTCATAAGTATTCACTAGTCACATATGCTTCAAATTTTGTAATGAGAAGTATTAACTCCTTTTCTGCTTTAAATGTTGAAATAGTTACAGGTCTAAAGAACTTAATCTTTTACACCCTTCAGACCTGGTTCTGATTACATTATTAGAGATGTATTGGTATGTTGGCAGCTCTATGCTCTGAATGAAGCAAGAGCAAGTGAAAAATACCTTCATTAAAAGTTGTAGCTGAACACTTAGGCAGGAAGGTGCTTTAATTTCCTGACTTTTAATGTCATTTTAATTGATTAATGCTTGATTATTTTTCCATGGATACTGCAGTTGCAGAAATAAGCTTGAGTTCAGTCCTCTCTCTAAGAACACAGAGCAATYGTTGCAGTTCCTCACCAGAAGATTGTAGCAGTTTCTGTCAGTAAGGATTCAGAGAGGTATCTTCCTTTTGTAGGGGCGATTGATTCCTAGGTAATTACATGGAACATGTGACACTGAGGGTCTTTAAGGTTAGGTTTTTGCTGTTTGTAGGATAAAGAGAGCAAATGTTTTGTGTGTTGGTATGTGGCAGAATATTCGTAATGTTTTTAAGATTGCTTTTAAACCACCCGAATATGGTCTAATCTTGCATTTCAAGGATAATTCCATGGAGAGAGAGAAATAGTATAGCTAACTTAAAAAAATTAACTTACAGAGAACCAACGACAAAGGAGAAATCTCAGATTAAGAAGCCAGCGACAGTCGGACAGCTGTGTATTGAGCAGCGATGATGAAGATGAAGCAAGAGATAGCGATGTGTATGTGACTGATAAAGCGTCTCGAGAACTGGGACCACTGGAAGAGGAAACTGCAAGCTCAAAGTACGTATGCCTCATGACCTACCAAACATTGAGTTGTGCTTTTCTGATGGCAGGACTAAGTTGTGTTGGTCATCACCAGACTTGTCTTTGAAGCCTTCACTTACTCAGTTGCTTCTTTTAATGATATGACATCCCATATTGCATGATAGTCAAATGATTTTATTTAACCATTTTCACTTTAGAATGAAAAGCCAGCCCAAAACAGATCTACAACTTTGTGTACAGCCTAAAGATCAGTGTGGGGTATGGCAAGGACGTGGGGATTAGTCACAGGCCAGAGCTCATAATGTGTTACATTTCCTTTTCCTACAAAGCTCCAGTAGTTATGTTAGATATAGAATACTTCTGTTGGTGTTCATGAGGTTTGATATCACAAGTYTGGCAGACAGCAGCCTGGCAAATTCCAGTAAAAACACTTACATGTTTGCTACTTTTYTTACATACTGTGCCAGTTGCTGCCTTTCTTGAAGCAGCAGCTGTCCTTGCCAAGGTATACTTGYAAGGTGATCCTGGAGGTCATGCTCTTATGGCCAGTTCTTGTTCTGTCCCATGGATGGTATGGAGCCTTGATATGTTTGCATGTGGGATGGGGATTTTGTTGTTTGAGTCACTAAAGACCCCCATTCTGCRGAGAAAAGAGTAAATCCCAGTGCAGTGTGTTAGACTAATGAAATGAAATTGGGTGTCTGTGTGACTGGGCAAATTGAAGGACATAAGAATTGCAGTATAAACTTAAAAAGTTTGGGTTTTTTTTTTTTTGTGGGGAGTGGGGGAAATTCAGGGTTGAATGAAGATGATGTGCTTTGAGCCTTTTGGAATTCTGGAAGGCAGTGTAAGAGAGAGCTTGAGTATGTAGCTTTAGGGTGCCAGGTCATAAATCTGCCACTGAAAGGTCCTATGTTTTTCTAATCCATAGTGCATTTTGCTAATGGAATTGTAGATGCTTAAATTTTGGTTGTTAAGTACCTCGGAGAACAAATACCACTAATTGGATAATATAAAAAAGCAACAGTTTGTTCCTTCAGCCTTCTCTGTTAAARGCTGTGCTGTCCTGCTCTGTGTAGATAAGGTTGAAAGATCTCAGTACTGCAGCATTTAACATTGACTAAAGGGTCTTTCCTGGTGCTGGAGATTGCCAGAGCCATCGGCAGTGTTGGACTCCTCATCCTTCTAAGATTATCATCAATTGTAATTTGTTACTGAAGTGTTRTAATAGCTGCTGCCTCAAGATTTTGAGAAGTAAAAATGAAAGAATTAGTGGTGTTAAATTCTGTAGGTGAAACTAGAGGTAGATGTTGGTAGTGCTCCCTGCTTGAATTGAAGATAATGAGRCCATCTCATGCTTTCTATTCCTGTTTGATTAATAAATTACAAACTGTGGTCCAGCATGGGCAATGATGTAAGAAAGCCAAGTGTTTAAGGTAAGATTGTTGAAGTTTAAACTAGAGYAGTTTGTAAAGAAAAGTGTCAGAATCTCTTTTTGTTTATGAGAAATTATATTATTCAGCACTTGGGCTGGGACATGTTCCTTAGGCAGCTGAGCTGTGTGTATTGCTACGTGTATGTGCAGTACTGCTGTCCTGGAGGCTGAAGGCAGCAGAGGCATTCTGTAACCACAGCTCAGTAACAGACACTGAGTCAGTCTTTCCTCCTTGGAACTAGAAATTTGGTGTTGAATATTTCCTCACCTCAGTGTGTTCCTGACCTACATTTTATAAGGAGGAGTTCTTGGAATATATTACCGAGCTGTTGCTAAATTAGAACAGGGGATTTTAGAATTGATAACAGCCTCTTCCCTTTCTAGAGGGACTTGTTTCCAAGGCAGAGCTCAGTGCTTTTGTTACAAAGCTGTCATTGATGGCCTGTTGGCGATTAGCTCTGAAGAGTGCCAGAGATTGCTGTTAGTTCTTGTGCTAGAGCAGGATGASTGACTGCACCTTCCCCTTGGGAAAACCTTTGCTTTAGAGCAGGGAGACCCAATCTTGTTATTATGTGCCACAAACTGATGGAGTTAAAGATACACAGGGATCTGAAAAAGAAATGCATCATAATGAGTCAGTGCACTCAGATGGTGACGTGATATTTTGTGTGTGGGTAACCCTTGATGTGCATAAAATTAATGGCTGCATGTTATTTCTTGTTCTCTGTACCACAAGGCCGTCTGGTACTGTTAGCTGTCCCATTTGCATGGATGTCTACTCWGAGGTAAGGATCCACGTGCTTTCATTCTTTCTGTTCTGTGTGAGGTAGAAAGGGGCAGGGGAGGAGCTGCACAACTCACTTGGCCACTGTGAGATGTTATAGAGAGCTGTCTTGAAGCACAGAGCTTGCCTTGAAGCTCACAATAACTTGTCAGTCCAAGTCACTTGGTGGTGGGGGTAGAGAGAGACACCCTTGCCAGGATGGCACTGAAAGATCTTCAGGTTCCATACTAAGAGTAAAGGACAATTCCAGATATTCTAAGTCCTGTTTACCTGGTGGCAGTAGACCGGCAAAGTTGATTTCTTTACTCCCAAACTCTGTTGTGGTTTCTTTTCTTCCAGATTGTGCAAAGTGGACGACTGATTGTGTCAACAAAATGTGGCCATGTCTTCTGCAGTCAGTGCCTCCGTGATTCCCTTAGGAATGCCAATTCTTGCCCAACCTGCAGGAAGAAACTCACTCACAGACAATATCATCCCATTTATATATGAGTACTTTCATTTCTCAGGACAGACTCAACTGGATTTTGGGGGAAAATGTCATGTTTTCAGTGCTCTGAGGATGAAAGAGCAGCAGGTTGTGCACCAATCCAAATAAAACTGGTTTTTTTGGAGAACAACTTGTATGTATCTAGACAGCTTTTTTATGGTCCAAGTTGCTTCTTGTTATGTTCCTGGTTATCATGTTACATCAATGACTGTCTCTAAACTAGACCAGCAGCCTAGACCAGGAAAGAAGCAGTTAATCCATTTCCTTCTACTTTTTTTAATGCTTAAATGAGGGGGTGTGAATATTTTGGTCTTTCTTACTCTATAAATTATTCCTACCATCACATACAGGTATGGAATAGTTTCCTTCAGAAGACAGATTAGCATTTTACAATTTCATKACACCTTTTTTTTTATCCTATAAGAAGCTCATGACTCTTGCTTTCTTGCATATCATTTTTCAAATCAGTCTTAAATTGACAACAAAGGTTATGCAATAAAGTAACCTGCTGTTAACCAGCAGTCAAGTTTTGAGCAGAAGGTTTGAACATGCAGATGTTTTTTATTAAGTCARTGCGATCCCACAGACAAATTGCAACATGTACAATGTGAAAATAATTCCTTGTTTGTTTCAATGGTCAAGAATTCCTGTATTTTAATCCCAACCCTAAATTAATTTTCTAACATGATGAGATGGTCTCTTGGATTTACTTATGCTGTAACAGTCTTTCCTAATAGCTAACAAGAGTATAGCCTTCCCTAGGTTTCCTAGTGATGACTGAGAAGCAAATTCATCTGTATGCTGTCCTCTTGTCAGCTGAATACCAAACTACCTACAGATCTTCCTACTGTATATCAACTGTTCCCAGAGTAATGCTTTAAGTTCAGTGTGTTCACTTTGCTGTTCTCACTGGTTGTTACACTGACACCTGACTGGATTGAAAATAGGATTGAAAATTAAATAACTGTACTGCCATTATGGAATGGAGGCTGTAAAAGGTGTCTGGTAGCAATCTTGACAGCTTTTTGAGACTGAGGGGTGTCCTTTGCCCTAAGGGGTGTCCAGTTTTCTTTAAATGCAGTTTTAAAAAAGAAATCAGATGTATCTCCTAGGAGAGGGAATTCCTCTAGTTGAAAAGGCAGGAATACATGAGTTTATGCACTGTTATCCAGTCACTTTTTCCCTAGGACTTAGTTGTAAATGCCTACTTCAGACTTAGAGCTGAAATGTCCAAGCTGATCTGGAATCCAGGRTGAGCTGATACAGGTTTATGTAGACAATATGATTAAAATCAGTGTTTCATGCTTCACATGTAGGTGCATCTATGAAAAACTCCAGAATTAAACTTGGACACCTCTTGGCAGTTGTTGGCTTATAGAAACCATTATAAGAACCATTCCGTGCTCTGGTGCAGCACAACTGCAGGATGTGTTTGGTTGGCTTTACATGTGTCTTTGCTAACCTGTCCTTGGGATCTGTGGGAAGCTTTTAATGAAAGAAGCTCTTCTAAATTAACTGTCTCAAGGTCTGTCTTGCAACCCAAAGAGATTTTTTCTTTAAATTTTCTTTTTGATAATTTTTTTTCATTAGGATGTGTCTGGATATAGTAATAGAGACTTGTTATATAAAGGCTGGCTCAAGAAAGGCAGTATCTTCCCCACCCTTGTTTGGACTAGATTTGGCTTAATGCTCTTTGCAAGAATATGCAGTTTCTGTATTGTGGCAATAGGGTGACTCCTACAAAGTTGCACACACATAGTTCCTCTGTGCTCCCATGGGTGAGATAAACTACAAGCAAGGACTAYGGCTGTCTCAGGATGGTGCAGTGACAGTGATGGCTGCATGTGTGTCCCAAAAAGCTGTGAGTTAATGCTTAAACATTAATTGTGTGAAGAGAAGCAGTCCAACGTTAAAACTGCAGAGACACTTAAAGGTCACMGAAACTACTTCCTCCCAGTAGCCTGAAAAAGAATATTTTATGGCTGGTTTTCCTTGGGTGGCTGCTGTGTGAAAGGAACAATCAGAAGAGGATTGAAGGGATTACTACTGCAGATGAGGGTGAGTCACTTAACCATGCATATTTCACAGTCTACTAGCCATAGCCTAAATGATTTTGCACAGTTCCCTCCATGTAAATACCACTTTAGAGTTAGTGTCTCAATAAATAGATCTAATTGAAATTTAGATATCATAAAATATAAAATAAAAAAAGGTTCTAGCTTTTGTGTACCCTGTGAAGTGCCACAAATTTTGTGCATCCCAAAATGGATATAAAGTTTTAAAAGGCAGGAAAAATTAGGAAATTCATTATATGCTTTTTTCTTCAAGGGGGAAAAAAATCTGATATATTTCAGTTCCAGTAATGTTTCACAYTGGAAAGAACTCATACATAATGAAAAAAAACTTCATATAATGTAGATGTCTGTCTTGTTGTATATAGTTCAATTTTTCYTGTATTTAATAGTATTCAAGTCTGTCTGCCAATCTGTGTTGAACTCTGCTGGTAGGCAGAGGGTTCTCTTAACAGGTGCAAATAAAATGATTGGATTGATCAATTGTACATGTTTGTTCTTTCCTTGTTGCTGTTGTCATTGATTTGGGGGGCAACATTACTGAAGACCAAAGCCTTTCAGATGCTGGGGCCTGTGTGTGGCGTGTGGGACAAGGGAGAAAGGCGCTGCCCAGGGCKGAAGGGATGCAGGGATGAGAGGGTGAGATCCTGCTTGGGTGGGGGAAATGGGGCGGTGCAGAGGTGGGGTCGTGAGTGGGGGGAGCCCAGCAGCCAGGGCCAGAGAGAGAGCAGTGAAGAGGGTGGGAGGGTGTTGGACCATGGGCCTGGGGGTCCCATTGCCTGCTGGATGTGAAGCAGCCGCTGGAGAGAGGGTAAGGAGGAATTGTGGTGAGCCTTGCTAAAAGCTGGCTACTCGATGCATAGCTAAAAGCTGCTAACAGCAATCGGCTGCGAGCAGTACCTGGAGCCGAAAGTTACGAGAGATCTTTTGTCCCGGAATTCCCGAGACAGCCACGCGTTAAGTGAACTTAACAACAGTTAAGTTCACCTAACGATTTGATGGGACTAGCTTGTGAGGCTAACGGCAAGGTGTCGTTTCTAAAGTAGCCTATAAGGAGCTCAGGTTTTGTAATATGTATGAGGTTGATTACCGTTAGCAAACATGGGCATAAAAGCCATGGTTGCTGAAGGAATAAATGAGTAATGCTGATAGAAGCACAAACAGTCCTTAAGCACACACAACCTTGACCAATATACACAAGCACAGTCTTTTGACTGGAATCTGGATGGACTTYGAAGTGGCAAATGCCTTGYTCCATATCAAGGCATATGTCCTGAGCATCATTGTATTGCTTTCACAGATAAACCMTTGTTGTTCTCGTGCAATACAKGATTCTAAATTCACAGTTTGCCACTTTTTCTCTACTATCCGGGCCCATACCCTATGTTCAGAGGGAYAGAGCACTGTTCTCTCATGGTTTAATCYTAATGCAACAATGGGGTGGATAATGTAGACAGTAGCATTACATATAGTGAGCACAAAGGCTGYGGCCATATTGTCMAAAGGGTCATAGGTAAAGTTTACCAGGGTCCACCAAGATTGAAATTTTCTTTCTAAATCAGTGGCATTGTCCCAAACAATTTTCYGAATTTCAATGGGRAAAGTGCCTTCACTACTTTCTCTTATAATTAAGGCATCTGCTGACTGTGTCYATTGGTTGTGCCTGCATACARCTAAGGGCTAAGGATGTCCTGGACCATACCAAGTGCATTTATTAATTCATGGTCCTGTTCTTCAACTTCTTTCTATTTTGGTAACACTTTTGAAACTTGCCACTGTTTACTCCCTAATGATAATAGAGAAGACTGCAGGGGTTGTCTTAATTTTAAAAGTATACTAACAGTCTAATTTACTTGAACTAGTAGAAATTTTGTTATGCTTATCAGTAGGGGTAGTCGAGACACTTATTTGGACTGCTTTCTCATAAGCCTTCCCATTAACCATTCAACATCTTATTTTGATTACTTCACTTACAGTCCTCTGAAGTTGCTACAACTTTTGTTTTTCCCATTCCTGTCTTGCATATACCTGATTTTCATGTATAACCACAGTTAACAGATTTAAACCCTTTACATCAGAATACCTCTCCATGGATTCAATATACTTCCAGATACCTTGAGACCAAGGCTAATCAGTATTGTCCTGGGTAGAGGTACTCTCTCATCCCTGGATTATAATTATGATCGTGAGAAAAATAATTTTCCTGGTTGAACTTGCATGACCTTCTATGGAGAATTAYGAGCCTCCTTCACTTTGGTATAATGAATCCAGGCGTTCTGCTCCTTGATTTTAATTGCGGTGTAAGTGCTAAGGAGTACCTGAAATGGTCCTTCCCACTGTGGCTCCAGAGTTTTTCCTGCAAAAGACTTGACATACACATAATCTCCAGATTGAATATCACATACAGGACCATCTAAACCTTGACTTCGGGTTCCGGCTACGTGCTTTTCAATCTTTCTGAGTGGCTTGGCCAAAGCCACCATATAGATGGTCTCTATTTTTTTTTGCAACAATACTTTAGCTACTTCCTGGGTAGCTAAACCCTTGACAGTTCTGGTGGGAAAGGCTTCTGGCCACCCTGAAAAGGTATCTATTAATACCAACAAATATCAATACCCCCCTTTTCTGGGAAGTTCTGTGATATCAATTTGCTACTTCTGTCTAGATCCATGACTCCTTCTAATTTGACCAAGTTTTATTTTGCAAGTAATTTTGGGTTTAGTCTGGAGGCAAATGTCACACTGCCGGGTTACCTGCTTGATGGTATCTTGTAAATGCCTGGCAAGAATTTTATCATTTAGGTAATTATACAGAGCATCTACACCCCAGTGTGTTTTCTGATRTTCCTCCCTAATKAATGACCACAACAAATGARAAAGTATTATTATCCTTCCTTCTGCTGTAATAGCCCATCCYTCTTGGTTATRTGTTTCTTTTTCATCCTTATTTAGGCTTACCWTCTAGGGASACCTTCTCATCTGGGATCAGGGCTCCTTCTGTTGTTATCTGACCATTTGCTGCCCTTTTTKCCTCTCTGTCCRCCACCTCGTTTCCTTCTTCTAATTCAGAGCTCACCTTTTGGTGTGCCTTAATGTGCATGATTGCTATCTTCTCAGGTAGCTGGGCTGCTTCCAACAGCTGCAATAKTTCTTGTGCATGTTTGATATTTTTTCCTTGTGAGTTTAACAGTCCCCTTTCTTTCCAAATGGCTTYAAATGCAYCTGCCATTTCTAGGGCACGTGTCGGAGCAATTATCTCAGCTTTCTGTGCAGAGGTGTTTGTTGGCAAAGGTCTAGATTCTATTACCTTTTTCCAGGTAGCAACTGCATACCCAGYGTGTCACTTTCCACTAATAACGTAACTGCTCCCATCAGTGAATCAGGTTTCTGTGTCATCTGAAGCGGTATCCTTCAGATCCCGACGACTGGAGTATGTAGCTTCAATGGTTTCCAGACAATCGTGGTRTACTGGCTCTCCTTCATTTCCGCYGAGGAAAGAAGCTGGGTTGACAATGTTAGTCACCACTATTTCTACATCATCTTGTTCYACCATGATGGCTTGGYATTTCAAGAACCTCTGTGGGGAAAGCCAGTGGCCGCCTTTCATTTCCAGCACTGCGGACACTGTGTGTGACACTAGCACAGTCATTTTCTGGCCCAATGTAAACTTCCGTGCCTCCTGAATGTTCATCACCACTGCAACAGTTCTGAGGTACCCCAGCCATCCTTTGCCTGCTGTATCTAGTTGCTTAGAGAAATAAGCAACTGCCCATCGGTACAGAGCCAGGTCTTGTGCTAATATTCCCAAGGCAATTCCCTGTTTCTCATGGGAGAACAGAAAGAATGGTTTACTCATATCTGGAAGTCCTGGAGCTGGAGCTGACATGAGGGCATTCTTTAGCTGCTCAAAGGCCTTTGTGGCTTCCTTGTCCACTGGAGATCCCTCTGTTCTGTGTTTATGAGAGCGTATAGGGGCTTTACAAGTAAACCATAATTATAAATGTAAAGTCTGGACTAGCTCGTCATTCYCAAGAATGTTCTGAGTTCTTTYGCAGTCTGAGGTTTTGGGRTCTGGCAGATGGCTTCCTTGYGATTCTGCCCCAAGCTCCTTTGTTTTGCACTGATCTCATGGCCCAGGTAAATTACCTTTTTTTTTCATTACTTGGGCCTTTTTCTTGGAAAGCCGGTATCCCTGCAGTCTTAGAAAATTTAGCAGACTTACCGTCCAGGTAAGACAGGCCTCTTCAGTCTTGGTAGCTATCAAGAGGTCATCCACATACTGCAACAGTTTTCTTTCTGATGCTGGGACCTCCCAGGATTTTAAGTCTTTGTCAAGTTGCTATCTAAATATGGTAGGACTATTCTTGAACCCTTGA